GACTTACCCTCCTGCTACATGGTGGTGGATGGGCCAGTACTTGCACGTGAATCATTGGGTTTTTCTCTTCGACATCTCACTTTTGGAATGCAAAGCCACTTCCTCCAGCCATTTAAAATTACCTTTTTTTTTTTTTTGGATGGAAGTTTTTCAAGATCGGTTTGTACAAATTTGGATATTTCACATCATCCATGGCAATTCGCTCTCTTTCCTTTCCCTAGAGAAATGTCACTTTCCAAGCAGAATTTAGATTCTTTGACTTGTTCACTATTTGCCGATCCTCTTCATTACTTGTACCCTTAATTTTTATTTCAAGATATTCTTCATGTATCTTCTTACTTACAGATCATTTCTCTATAGCACTCGGGAAATATGTCATGTGTCTGACCCCCTTGGCCAGATTTTTTTCTTCCTGTTTAGAGACTAACAATAATTAACTCAAGGTGCAAAGTACAGCACAAAAATAGCCATACACTATTTGAAGAGGGAGAGTATGTTATGCAATGATACAAAAATTTCAATTCTTCCATATCTTCAAGGTCCAACATAAAAAAAGAAAGACTCGAATCAGAGGGAAGAGAGTACCAATAACTCACAAATAATATTGAATAATATTGACTTTTTTACGTAGATATGTGAATAATATTGGTAAGTTAGAAAATCAGTCATCAAATCATTTTTAATTAAATTGAAACTTCTTTTGTATGTGACAGAAGTAAGAGGATAAGAGGAATAAATTTTGACAAGTTAGAGAGTAGTCACCAAATCTCCTCAAATCCTTTCATTTTTCTCCAAATTCTTATAGGTTATAAAATTTATTTTTTAACGAGAAAAAGTAAGAAGATAAAGAGATAATTTTGATACGTTAGAGAGTAATTATCAAATCTCCTCAAATCCCTCCATTTTTCTCCAGATTTGTATAGATTATAAATTTTTTTTAAAAAGATAAATGAATAATATTGGTAAGTTAGAGAACAGTTATCAAATCCCTTCATTTTCTCCATGAATTTATATAAGTTATAAAATTTCACTTTTTTATTTATATATGTGAATAATATTAGTAAGTTAAAAAATTAGTCATAAAATTAGTACTAATTAAATTAAAATTTCTTTTGGAATAAACTAAAATTCATTTTTTAATGAGAAAAGGTAAGAAGATAAAGAGATGATTTTTATAAGTTAGAGAGTATTTACTAAATCCCCTCAAATCCTCCTATTTTTTTTTCTAATTTTGTATAGATAATAAAATTTCTCTGAGAAGATAAATAAATAATAATAGTTAGTTAGACATTAGTTATCAAATCTCTTCAAATTCTCCATAGATTTGTGTAGGTTATAAAATTTCACTTTTTAAGGTAGATATGTGTTTTTAGGTAGATATGCGAATAATATTGATAAGTTGGAAAATCAGTCATCAAATCCCTTCAAATTCTCCTAATTTGTGTAAGTTATAAATTTCAAGGATCCCGTCAAATCCAATTCTTTTAAAATCCCATTCATTTCAAACTTCTTAAACCCATTCCAAATGTTCATCGTCTCAATGTGATCGTCTTCGAAGCATCACAGTACACAACGATCATGCCTCGATACAGAGACCAACCACCTGCAGTTCGCGTATATACAGTTCGAAGAATCAAAGTTCGTTTCTCTATATACACATATATATGTATGCATATTCTTTATTACCATCACTAGTCCAATGTTTGTATTGCTTCAATTGATTCTCAATGCTAACTTCTATTGTTTTAATAAATTTTTTTAGCTGACTCTAATTGTACATTGTTTTTATTTTCTGTTTAGATACAATCAGATGTTGAGCATTTAGTAGCTGGACCTTCCAAGAAAACGCTAGTGGACAATAGAAGAATAAAATGAAATATCTAGATTTGTGCAACCACTCTAGTCCAAATGGATGCTCGGATTTGAAGCGATGCTCATGCACCATAAAAAATGGTGGTGAGATAATAGAGTCTGATCTAACGATTTTAAAAATTTCTAATTCATAACGAATACTACGTTGGCGAACTCTATTCCTGCAAGAAGGAGAGCATTTGCAAGATGGGTCACACTCATAAACCATGGGTTTTGTTTTAAATTTACCATGCTTTATGAGTGTGGTCATTCTTGCAATGCCCTTTTTCTTGCATAATAGAGTTTTTCAACGTGGTATTTGATATGAATTAGATATTTTAAAGATATTTTTAAGACGGAATCAAAGGGTTGGGGTGTTCGATCACACGAGAATTTTTATGGTGCATGGGCATTGCTTCAAATCCAAGCATCCATGGATCTAATTGCACCGAGCATTCATTGATCCAATCGCAACCAATTGGACTAGAGTCGCTGTACAAATCTGGATATTTCATTTTGGCTGTGTAATTTAAAGCAGTGGATACTCATCATTCATGCAATTCGCTCTCTTTCCTTTCCCTAGAGAAATGTCACTTTCCAAGCAGACTTAAATTCTCTGACTTGTTCTCTATTTGCCGATCCTTCTCATTACTTGTATCCTTAATTTTTATGTTCTCTATTTCAAGATATTTTTCATGTATCTTGTTCCTAATCATTTCTATACAACGTTAATATCATTAGGTCCTCCATATATTACGCATTCGCCATTGCAGTTTTTGGCTCATAGTTATTGAAATTACAATTTTGCCAGCGTCCCAACGCGCTCGAGCCTATCTTACTAGTTACTTATGATGCTCCATCGAATTATTGCTCGTCTTAAAACCATGGTTGGGCCTATCTTGACCCATAACAATTTAGGTTTCTTCATTTTTAACACTCAAATCTTTTTATGATTTGAAATTAAAATTGGAAAAAGATTAGAATTCTAATTAAAATGAAATTTCTTTTAGAATAAACTAAAATTCATTTAAAGGTAAATAAATTTTATTATGTCTTATTTTATTTTATTTTTAATATTATGCATATGCTTTTTTAACCTAGATATGTGAGAGAAGTAAAAGGATATAAGGAACAAAGTTTTGTAAGTTAAAGAGCAATCATCAAATTCTCTCAAATCCTTTCATTTTTCTCTTAAAAAATTTATTTTTTAACGTAGATATGTGAGAGGAGAAAATGTAAGAAGATAAAGAGGTAATTTTGTTAAGTTAGAGAGTAGTTATCAAATCCCCTCAAATCCTCCTATTTTCTCTGGATTTGTATAGATTATAAAATTTCTCTAAGAAGATAAATGAATAATATTGGTAAGTTAGAGAATGATTATCAAATCCCTTCAAATTCTCCCAGTTTTCTCTGGATTTATATAGATTATAAAATTTCTATTTTTTAATAGATACGTGAATAATATTGGCAAGTTAGAAGATGAGTCATCAAATCCCTTCAAATTGTCTCACCTATGGGGCAGGAGCACTTCAAATCCAAGCATCCATTGATGCCATCGTAATTGAAAGCTGGGAGTTCCTCATCATCATGGCAATCACTACTTTAATAGATCTCTTTTCTTTCCCTAGCAGACTTCCAAGTTCTTTAAACTTGTTCACTATTTGCCGAGGGAGTTTTTGTTCTAGCGGTAGTCTATTCAATTCAAACATATATACCAATTTCAGACCTGGCTTCTTTCTTTTTGTCCAATTGTTGGTTTTTACTGGTGGTTAGAAACAGATTCTACACAAAAACAAAAGGAAATCACTCCCATCTCCATTTTGTGAACTTTAACAAGTCATCCACCCATATACATTTTATGATTTTAGGTACAGAAAGACTAAACTGATAACATATAGAAAGTGGACTGGATAATTTCTTTGCAACTTTTAAGTTGTTCGAAATTTAATTTGACAAGTAGACCTGGATACTAGAAGTTTTCATCTCCTGGCATACAAGACAAATATTGATTAATCCATCACAATCCTTGCACAAACACAAGTGTCTACAAGGCATCAACAAGATGCAGACCTCCTTGGCCTTGCATGCTCTGCAAATCATATTATCCTTCATGAAACCAGTCTTCCCAGGCCCGCCTTGAAGGCCTAGGTGGTTGTTCAGGTTTACATATGAAGCAGCATCATCGATTTCACTGTCTCCAAAACCTTCCCTCCCTTGGTCAGCACCCTGTGAAATTGCCTGCTGGAGGTTGTTTTTCAGGACTTCAACCACCGACTCGTTTTTTGCTCTGTGCTGCCAGTTTTGGGCTTCCACTGCCGCCTGCTTCATTCTCTCAGCCAGTTCTCTGTTCTTGTGGTTTATGTTCTCTATTTGAACATCCTTTTCATGTATCTTCTTACTGATGCATTTCTCTCTTACTGATGCATTTCTCTATAGCACTCAGGAAAGATGTCGTGTCTCTGATTTATGTATCTGACCCCCTTTGCTAGATTTTCTTCCTGTTTAAAGACTAACAATAATTAAATCAAGGTACAAAGTACAGCACAAAAATAATCATACACTATTTGAAGAGGGAGGGTATGTTATGCAATGATACAAAAATTTCAATTCTTCCAGATCTTCAGGTCCAACATAAAAAAAGAAAGGCTCGAATCAGAGGGAAGAGAGTACCAATAACTCACAAATAATGAGGTTAGTTATGGACACTGAAAAGTCCTCCAACATGGACATCATAATGATAGGTCACATATCCCTAATAGTTCATTTAGAGGGCAGCCATACCTGAATCTTAATATACTGATCAAGTTCTTTTTTCTGCCGATTAAGTTCATTCCTAATAGTGTCACCAAAAGATAAGATGATTGGTGGTGCTGCCGTCAAATTTTCACTTGCAGAAGTGACAGAGGAGTTGCGTTCATCATCATCACATGACAGCCTTAAACCCGTCGATACAGGGTTTTGGTTTGGTATGCTTGATAGTAATAGCTTAGCTTCATCATGACAGATGTTGTTCAAGGAAATCTGTCGCATCTGCTTCCTTGAGATCTCTTCTGATTCCCTGCCTCTTTTATTAGGCTGAAGCAACTGGGTGTTGTGCTCATTTCTGAAATAATTTACTGGATCGATATTACATCCAACTGGTACTGTAACGTAGATTGCAAAAGGGTAAATATCAGATCAGTTCAACTACCAGAAAGCCAACAAGATTGTACAAAGCAACGTGAGAACATGATCTTATTTTTGTGAAAATGCAAAGCGCAGTTATCAAGTAAAATTCTAAAGCCTCCAGAGATGTAGCTATAATTGAGGCAACCATGAGGAGCACATTGAACCCAACTAAAGAGGAAGAAGAAATCAGCTCAGCAAGCCTGAGGTGCAAGAAAAGAAAAATTTTCTTGTTAGGATGTGTTTCTTGCAAGTCTGAAGGTTTTCTACGCCAAAAGGCAAACAACTCATGATGTATCAATTCATTCATGGGGATTACCGAGTTCTAAATTTAACTATTTCAGCACTCTATACTTGTTCCAACAGTACGTATGAAATAAATAAAGGGAGAAATAATTCTATCGAACACTAACTAGAAACTCCACAAGCAGAGCAAGCATGGCAAGTATCTATAAATTTTATCGACTGGTAAACCCAGACATTTACCTCATGCAGGAGCATCGATAAGGGAAATTGTCGGATTATGAAATATATAACAAACTGAAAATGCTTAAAATTACAATGCTTATATAACACCACATCCATTTAAAATGCTAAACCAAAATGAAATCTTTTAAAGTTCTGATACATCAGAGAGGCATACAAAGCCCACCAAAGTGACTCGCCTTGAGGTGTTCTTCAGTTTAGAATGATTTCAATTCCATTTTGAGAACTTAAAATCTTTTGAGGATTCATTCTGCAAAAGTAGACACGGAGAAACATCCACATCTGATTTTTGGCCTACCACATGTACACCTAATACGTTATTCAAATTAGCAAAGTTTGTGTGATACAGATCATTGCTTCTTGTTAGGGTGGTTATCAACGATATATTGTCCGTTGGAGGGGTTGCCTATACATAGATGACTTGTGGATTACAAAGGATGAATTTTAAGTGGCTAGTGGATCACAAAGGATGAATTTCACCGTATTAACTCAGACCTATTAGAGCAGAACAATGGGCTTTGGTCTCGAAAAGCGAGTTCTTTTGAGTGGGGAAAATTAAGGGAGGTCATGATGAACCTCAATCGCAACATGCTCTGCATACTTATTATAGGCTTAAGCACATAAAATGATAGGTTAAAATCATAAAACCCTCTGTACTATAAATTTATGCCATATTACGCCCATGTAAAAAATTGGTATCAGAAAAAAAACCTGACTATTGAAAGCTGTATCAAAACACACCCCTGCCGTTAGTTTGACGTTAAAAAACAAACGTAAACATCACATGGCACCCATGTGCCTCATTATCCGAGTTTAAAGATGAAAAAACCCTTTCTAAGGAAAAAAAACCTCTTGGTGTGTAATATTTATTGAAAAAAAAAAAAAACCTCTTATGTAATGGCTGCTGGTAATATGTAGTGTTTCATGTACTAATAAACCTCTCGATAAACGACACATTTGAGTAAAATCAATACGTGGTACAAATTAGTTCAATATTTATTTTGCAGACATGTTGTATGCATTCAGTCAGACAATAAAGCTTGATTAACTAAGATTTTTCTTTACTTCCTAACCTCACTTTGTCAAAAAATGGTATGAGTTCACAAGGGTGGTTTTCTTTTCTTGTTATCCATTTTAAATGTGTTCCCATTCTGAGTCTTTCACTCTTTTGGGGATCATTGTACATTCTATAAAAATAAAAAGAAGTAGAAGACTAAGAAGAAGAAATGGTTGTGTTCATGTGCAGTGAAAAGCAAAAGGGACACCTTGCTATGTCGGACACTTTTCCTATTAATAATTGGCATGCCAAACACTTCTTGACATTATTACACTTGCGTCTAAATGTGCTCTACACTCTTTATGACACTTCCTGAACAATCCATTTTTTTACCTTCAAATTTTACCCAAAAACAAGTGTATTATGCCTTTTCTTTTATGAAACTTCTGTAAGATTCCTTTTCAATTTATTCTCTTTGGTTGTTCCTTGCACACAAAAACACTCATCAAAGGATCAAATCCATATAACTGACACTTAATTCTCTTTGGTTATACTTCTTCCATGTTCTTTATCTCTTCTCTTTCCTTTCTTTTTTGCTGGTTTTGGATCATTATCTTCTTTCCCTTTTCCTAGATATTTTGCAAGCTTCGCCTAACTAATTGTGTTTGACACATCAATAACTAACTGTGTTTGACACATCAATCAAGAATGAATATATATAGACCACATTTACCACTTTAGAGAGTAAATCCGGAGATGAGGGCGAGGGAGTGACACAAACTTAAAAGTCCCCACTAAGAGTGACACAAACTTAAAAGTCCCCACTTTTACAAAAACCGAGTGCAATTCCCTATAGCTATTCTTGTGATTTTTTGCATAAACTTGAGAATACAAGCTTAGAGACAAGTAGATATTAAAACAATTCTAATAGATCTAAAATACATTCATGCGGAATTTTGTTTCTCGGATAATTGACAAAAACTCTAAATCCAATTTTTGATCATTGAATCATTTATTTTTCTTAAAATCTCTTCAATGTTTATATGGCTTTTTTTTTTTTTTTGGTTTTTTGGTTAAGTATCTATATTCTCTCTAATATCTTAATAGATCAGAAAACAAAACCACAATCAACATAAAACCAATTCATGCACTGAAAACTAATAACATTCATAAAAAATTACCTCAAGATTCAATAGTTTGATTCAGGTGCAAAGACTTCAACCATGTCAGATCCTACACACAATCCCCATATATAAGAGAGAGATTATTATTTGGTTATTTGAACAGAGAAATAATAGTATGTATTTACAATATATACACACAATTACACATGTATGCCATAGTTTTCTGGAATCGATTAATCAAAGCAAGATATAAAACAAAGGTAAGTAGCTATAGTGGATACATACATCAGAGAGAGGGGATTTGGATTTGAGAGGAGGAAATCAGAGGAATCGCCTAAATGAATGAAAGAGAAAGAAAGACAGAAATGATATAATCCAGAAAATTGTGGTAACAAATAGAAGAGAAGGTGTTGTGAATTGTAAGGTGAGTGAAATAATTGAATTGAAATGATAATTGAATGGTGTGGTGGTTACGCAAACGGACTTTTTTTTTTTTGGGTTTTTTGGGTGTTTGTTCTGTTGGGAAACGTGCTAATTTTAAAAACTTTTCGAGGGATTTAAATTTATAGATCTTGATTCATCACATAGAGACAAGTTTTATGCAAAAATAAAATATGATGTATCATTCAACTAAAAGATTGAATACTTACATCAAGGTTTGAGTAAACCTCAGATCTCTCCTCTAAAGTGAATGTTCTCACTTATTGTAGATCCCTTTTGCTAGACATCTTTTCCATGGATCTCCATCTTCTTGATAATGGTCTTGCCTTTAGGAATCACTCATAAGCCTCTATGAATGACCTTGGAAAACTAGGCTTATGGGAGCCTCCATTAGATGAGAACATAAACCCTAATTTTCTAGAGAGAGAAAAGTTATTCCTATTTTTTTCTCATCAAAATCACCCCCTAAAATATACATAGACCATGTATATTTATAGGCAACATAAAAATAAAGAAAAGGAAACAACAAATCCTTCTCCATCTCTAATTCATATGTCTCAAATCTAATATGATTCCAATATCAAGTTGGGCTATGAGTGAGAATCCATTGGGCCTATTATTTTATTGGCTACAATGAATTAATAATTGGCCCGGTCCATGGACCCAATTCAATTAATTCATAAATTAACTTCTACTCCACTAAAAGAAATTAATTGAAATCCAATTAAATAATAAATAACCTCTAAGTCAATATTGCACTTTGACCCCTCTATGCATAATTAGTTATCGGATAAATATAGCCATCAATCCGACTACTTAATTAATATATTTATTTTTGTACCTTTGATTATTTCTGGCTCGATCACAATAAAACATTTGTTTGACAAAAATAATAATTTAATAAATAAATATATAATAAATCATTTTGTCTAAAATCATACGAAGGCATTCGAATTTACTTTGTGATCAACCATAATCAATACAAAATAAATACAAGTAGCAATGATGCAAATATTAAAAATATAACCCTCTAACTATTAATTACATAACTACCCAAAGTGTCGGTCTAAGGATCCCGAAGAATCCGCCGAACAAATCAAAGTAATTATTAATTAATAAAAGAGTTTATACTTTTCTCATGCTTAAGAGTCAAATGCCATGACGGTGATAGGGAGTAATTGTATACGACGGCTCTCGCAATATATCTCAACCTAACGCGGATCCAGTTCAAGTCTTAATTAATTATGAGTCCATCCATAATTACCGACTATGAACAATTTATAATTACTATTTATATATCATGCATTGATTGTCATCACATACATATATATAAATATTTCTTGTAATTACATGGACACTATCAATTTCATAGTGAATCGAAACATAATACATTGAATTCACCAATTATATAAATCATAAATATTTCAGATATGTCAGGAACATATGTCACTATAATCCAGATAGGAATTTGCTATGTCAGGGCATATAAATCCCAACAGCTCCCACTTGCCCTCATAGCCAATTCAAATTGCACCTAACTCCAATGTTATCCAGATGATGATCAAAATTATTGATCAATGACACCTTTGATAATGGATCAACAAAGTTGTGTTCCAATGTAATGTTCTAACTACAAGTGCATTTTCTTGCCGGACAATATCATGTAGAACATGATACTTCCTCTCAGTGTATCTTGTTCCTCTATGGAACCTTGGGTCATTGGTTTGGACTACTTCTGCATTATTGTCACAACATAGCTCAATAGGCAGGCTAGTATACTCCACAACTTCTAAATCAGTGAGATCAAACTAATAGGCTTCCTTTGCCGCCTTTACGGCTGCAATATATTCCACCTACAGGTTTGAGTCAGCAGTTGAAATCTGCTTAACAATCTACCAACTGATCTCCCTTCCATTAAGTGAACATACATTGAGTCATGAACCTCATAGTATCTACTTCTGATTGAAAATCAGAACTAGCATACCTGACTAGGACCATATCATCACATCCATAAATGAATATGATATCATTGGTTCTCCTTAGGTACTTAATGATATTTTTCACAATAGACCAGTTGTCAAGTCCAGTATTGGACTGATCTCTACTAACTATCCCTACTATGTAGCGGATGTCCTGTTTGGTATAGACCATGGCATATATGAGACTCTCATATGCCGAAACATATTGTTCCAGTCTCATTTGCTCAATCTCCTTTGATAGTCTTGAAAAACTACTTACTAGAGAGAGCCATCCATATCAATAAAGCAAGAACTCATTCTTTGAGTTATGCATACCAAACCTGGTCAAAACTTTATCAATGTAGGATTATTAAGATAAGCCTATTTTCCTTTTAACCTGATCTTGCAAAAGCTTGATCCTAGGAATATAGCTTACATCTTAAAAATCCTTCATTTAAAAGTAATTGAACAACTACCTTTTTATTGATGACACAACTTCCACATCATTCTAAATGAGTAGGATGTCATCAATATATATAGAATTAGAAAAATAATGACATTCCCTTGTACAATCATGATTTATTCACTAAGAAATCTTCTGGTATCTTTTTGTACATTAACTTGCCTTCCATAGGAATCACCCTACTAGAAAGTTCTACAAGATCCCAGAATTTATTAGAATACATCGATTCCAACTCTGATTTCATAGTAACTCACCAAAACGATCTGTATCCACATCGGTTCACGCTTCCGTGTAGTTTACTGGGTCCAACTCATGTTTAACAGGGATGTCCATAATGGTCTCACCTAAAAACATGATTCTGTCGAATTGGATGATAATCCTCCCACTACATCAATGTACCGATGCAAGAATCTGTGTAGTAGATGATGCTAACGCATCAATAGGGAATTCATATATTATTCTCAATCTCTATAATAAGTGTGTTCACGTGTGGTACATCTGGTACTCATACCAAATTCTCTAACATTATGCTACTAGGTATGTGATTCATAATATGATTCTCCTATAGATAAACAGTGAGTGAAAACAATTAACTTTTATCTTTGAGATCATAAAATAATCCATCCTAGTGACATTTAGAGTAGCTATCAAATCTAGCATGCCTATGATCTGCTTCCAACTTACTTGTCCATATCAAGCGCACATGTGCAAGACTACCCCATATGTGCATATGATTTAAACTAATATTTAGTAAAAAACACAGCTCAACGGTATCCTTGAGACAGACTAAGATGGAATGCAGTTCATAATGCGCATCGATGTCATTAACGCTAAACTCTTAAATGAAAGAGATAATGTAGCATAGCTGATCATAGATCTACCCATGTTAAGTGGAATTCTGTTATTCCTATTTGACACCTAAATACATTTAGCGTCAATTGCGGAAAACTGGTACATAATACCCTCATTGATCATATAGTCTTTGCACTATCCCAAGAAATACTCATATCCTCGATCAGATCGAAGTGTCTTGACAAGTTTACCTACTATGTGTTCCACATCAGTCTTAACCTTCTCAGAAAATACCAAGAGTTTAAGACTTGTGTTACATCAGATAAACTTATCCAAAACGTGAGTAATCTTGCTTGGATGTTCATAAGACCACACGTGTCAGTATGTACCGACTCCAATTGTCCTTTATGTCTATTTCATCTGGCTGATTAAGCCCTAAGAGTTATCTATCCTTCAAAACAGGGTTCACAAGTTTGGTTTAGGCTCCCCTGCCTCACTAGGTAATTAACCTTCTTTGACCAATCTTTGAATCTTATTTTGATTGATAACAACCCAAAAATAGACATTAAAAATACAATGAGTCAGGAATAACAATTTTTCTCTTAACATTCAATCTAGAAGATGCAACATTAGTTTCTACATCCTGCAAATCTTAAGAGTTTATGATTATAGTATATTAACCATCTTTCAATGCACCAGAAGCAATCGCATATCTATTCAATTTTATAAAACCAGTTTTAGAAAATAACAACACAGTTTTTATAAACCACAAGTGAAACAAAAATTAGATAGCGTCTAACCACTGTGCATAAAGATAATTCTCTAATACTAATATCCTCATACTCTCTAATTTCAGATGTAATACTCCCACTGACTTAACTACAACCTTGGCATCAGGTCAAAAGATAAATATATTTCCATATCACCAAGGCTTCTGGATTCCTGAAATCCTTACAATAAATTGCAAACATGTTTAGTGGCTCCAGAATCTATCCATCAGGAATTAATAGACGCAACCACATAACATGGCTCAATGATTAAATATATATTTTCCTATGCCATGTCATTGCTTAAACAGTTCGTCCTTTAGTGTTTTAGTTAGCGACAAAAGAAATAGTTTTCTTCGCCCTCAACATACACTGCCTTATTCCCTTTAAACTTTTTGAATACCCATGTTTTGTGCTAGTCTAGTCCTATTATCATTCTTCTTTTTTGCTTTGCCCGTCCACTTGGGCCTAGAAGAAGATGGTATAGACTAGGTTAGATTGATAGGAACGCCCATACTCTTGATTATCCCTTCATCTGTTACCAATTCTATAAGAATATCAGCAAGTGTGAACTCAAACTGATTCCTTATTTAGTTCACTCTAACAGAATCGAACGAGTTTGGTAACAAGACAATAATCATGTCAACTTGAAACTTACCACCCAAGTCAGCCCTATTGATCTCCAGCTAATTTTAAATAATAAACAATCATTTTCCAAAATTTGATTTCAAACTGGAGTTCATGAGGCTATCTTGATGGTATTTAAATTTGACACAGTACTTAGGCATATGCTCTATCTAATCTCACCAAAATATCTCATTGACATTTAATATGATGCTTGAAGAAAATAAAATAATACAAATGTTAGCTTTGGAGTATATTCGAGCTAAACTCTAGAATATTGCACCAAGTCATATCATTTGCCTTATCTAATTTATTAAAAGCATTAATGTCAAATTTGGTATTTCAAAGTAAAAGAGATAGGTATAGGAGTAATAAACACATTTTGTACCCTTACGTTGTGAATAAAATATCTAAGTTCATTTTCCAGTCATTATAAATAAGGTCCAATATCATA